GGCTGGTTTATGTCATGTGACCCTTATTGCTTGCTATAAGTAAGCCCTCATGTAGCCTTTGTCTCTTGTCATGTATTGAATGTATTAACCTCTGTTTGGTGAGTTGTTTCATGTCTGTATAGTCAAGTCAAGCCAAATCTAGTCAAGTCTTTGTGTTTTGTTTGGATTTTTGGATTTCACTCTGTATAATAAATCTGCACTTGGATTCATCTACAACTTGCCGTTCATTGGACCATCATTACAGTGTACACTTAACAACTTACCTTTGAACATGTTAGGTTTGTTTTCCAAGAAAGAAACACACACATTACTTGATCTGCTGCAATTATATAAATAATTTATTTAGCTAAACTATCAAACCTGAACAGGGGAGAGCAGATTCATTTATAACAAACAACATCTCCAATCAGCAACAAGCTACAGTGATGCTACTCAGTTTGTCACAAAGGAATCTGTGTCTTCCCAAAGAACCCTCACCTAACTGTGTATGGAAGGCAGCTATGGCCACCGTTTAGATCTTAATCATGGACAGGGATAGATCTGCAAAGATATAATTCTGAAGAAAAGCCATCACCGAAGCCACTAGGTTAACTGTGTCCAACCTGTGTTCTCTGCACCATGATGTGAAAATTCTCCACTTCACGGCATACAATTCCTTATGATGGGAGCTCTAGAGTTTAAGATGGTCTTTATGACCTCAGCTGAGAGACCAGAGTTCAGAAGGTGTACAGTGTATAGCCTTGTATGCACAATGGCATCCAGTCCAAAAGGAGCTGGATGTGTGAGGAGAACCAGAGCGGACAGTGGGTGGTCCCCTGTCGAACTTTCTCCAAATTAACTCCACCATCTCGGGATGGAGTCTCCATTCCCTGGGCTTTCATTATGCAGAATGTGTTGCCCCTTAGGGAAAAAAAAAACTTTTTTGTTCTCATGTACAAAAAGCCAAACGGTATCATGCTGGACATGGCTGCCATTAGACCCAACAGTCTCTGAAACTGTTTGGCAGTGATGGCCTGGCCTTGCTTCATCTTGAACACTGCTGGCAGGATCGACTTGATACAAGCACAAGGCAATTGTGCCTGCATTGTAACCGAGTCCCAGATTAGTCCCAGGAAGGTTGTCCTTCGCATTTAGTCTCAACCCCAATAGCTTTATGTGGGTGAGGACAATATCTGGAAGCTGAACTGCCATCTCTTGAGACTAAGCTAAAATCAGCCAGTCGTCAATATAATGGAGTACATGGATGCCTCGAAGTCTCAAAGCAGCCAGTGCTGCATCCATGCGTGAATGTGAATGGGGATAGTGCTAGGCCAAATTGAAGAACCCAATATTGGTATACTTCTCAAATATTTCTCCAAGACAGAAATGAAGTTACTTTAACATCAAATGGAGACATTTGCTTGAGTCTCCTGCTTCTCACACAATTCTAACACTCTCACAATGGTCTCCTTTAAAGTTTTAGATCTTGGATCTTGCTTGGAATAGAAAGAAGTGTAATACCCTGCCAGTTGTCAAAGCTGCTGAGATTTCCTTTCTTGGGCAGTTTGAATATGAGGCCTTTGGGATAGTGTCTTCTTCCCAAATTGTT